AAGTTGCCAAGCCACTTAGAGGCTAAACATCACTTGCAACAACATAACAGAATATCAAACAGATTAAAGAAATAAACACAGTGTAAACAAATATTAAACACATTACAGTGATTGTTGGCAACATTGATGGTATAGTAGATGAAGCTCCAGTGGGCAATTCTGTAAAAGTGAAAAAAAAAGAATAAGTTAGTAAACTAAGAAATAAGGAATAAAAAAAAGTAACTAAGAAAGTAATAAGTCTTACCTTTCTCTAATCTTTCAACATGATCCAGGTTCTCCTCAACTTGGATTGGCTAATTAGGTGCCCTCAACCAATCTTGTGTACATAGTAGTGCTTCCACTATTTTAGGAGTCAATGAACTCCTAAATGGATCAAGTACTCTTCCAGATGTACTAAAACAACTCTCAGATGCAATTGTGGAGATAGGAACTGCAAGCACATCTCTAGTCATTTTGGATAGAATAGGAAATATCTCACTATGGTTCTTCCACCACTTTAACACATCAAAAGCAACAGACTCATCATCCTTCACAAGACTTTCACTTAAGTACACTTGCAGCTCAGTTTGCTTACTGCTTTCACTACTTTCCAATCTCTCTTCTTTTTTTTTTTTAACTTGGCTCTTCAAAGATGCCTGAGGCCTACCAACTGTACAAGTAGTAACCTGGTTAGCCTCAGACTAGAGTGGTTGAGTAGAAGATGCAGTCTGGGTAAAACTGACAGAGTATGTAGCTGCATAGTCATCATACAAAGCAGTCATTGCATATTGGACCTTGGTAAAAAAAGTTTTGCCTTTCACTTCTCCATACAACTGGGCAAACTGATGAGGCATGTACTCCTCCTTATCTCTGGGGTCCAGAATATTGGCAAAAAAAATGATAGAGTTCATTTTTTCTGGATCTCCCCAATATTTGTTAAACTTGTTCCTCATTTGTGTCCCCATTGCCTAAAACAGGAAAAAAAAAAAGTTACAAGTTTAAAACTTACAAAAAGTAATAAAGCAAACAAATTTAAAGATAAATGATAATATCTTTTCAGTCTCATGATTAGAGTTCACCATAGCTTCAAGCATGCAACTGAGATCAGAGATTTCAGAGAAGAATGTGTTGGATGTGACATAAAGTGAACCAGAGATCCTCACCGTCATATCATAAAATGTGTTGGATGTGACATAAAGTGAATCAGAGATCCTCACTGTCATATCATAAAATGCTTTCAACAGCTTCACTAAGCTTTCCACAGAACACCAATACAAGAAGGAATGAGCACTTCCCAAGTCAGCAGAATAAGAGGGATCATTTCTCTCATATGCATCAAACACTACTTGATATTGAATTGCAGTGTTGAGCATAATGTAGGTGTTGTTCCACCTTGTAGGAACATCAAGATGCAAAGCTAATTTAGCTTCCACACCAAATAGTTCAGCAAACTCTCTGAACTTTGTCAGTCTAGCTGGTGAGTTCCTAACCCATCTCACTGCATCCCTCACCCTCTTGACTGACTCATCTGCAAACTTCAACCCATCTTGGACCACTAAATTCAGGATATAGGCTATGCACCTCATGTGCATGTACTGGACCTTAACAGAAGAAGAACCCCAAAATAACAGTTTACTCTTAAAAAATCACATAGCTGTGTCATTAGAGGAAGCATTGTCCACTGTTACAGTAAACACATTCTTAATTCCCCACTATAATAAACAACTCTCTAGGGCCTTTGCAATGTACTCCCCCTTATGAGAAGAAACTGGGACAAAGGATATAATTTTTTTATGAAGCCTCCACTGGTCATGTAAAAAATGTGCAGTAATGCACATATAATTGATTCTCTGGACGGAAGTCCATGTATCAGTGGTTAGACTAACCCTTTGAGTGCCCACTCTAAACAACTTCTTAAGGTTTAGCCTCTCATCAAGGAAAATTTGGTAGATGTCCCTAAAATGGTCCACATAGAAGGGATAAGAAACTTAGGACAAGCAACCAGAACAAACCTCTTGAACCCTTGGCCCTCTACAAACCTAAAAGGGAGCTCATCTATGATTATCATCTCACAAATGGCCCTCCTAATGGCATCTTGATTAAATACCCATGTCTCCAAAACACCCTCAGGAGCCTCTGTTACACCCTCATAAGTGGACAAAGTGTTGAATGTAAGTAGAGACTGCCTTGTATCCTTTGCATGAGGATTTTTAAGACAACTCACCATATGATTTCTTAGTGATGATGTGCCATGTTTTTTAGTTTCACAAAAATACTGTTTTGCACAGTAAAGGCATTTGCCTTTAATCACTTTATTATCAGCATCTTTGATCTTTTCAAAGTGCTCCCACACAATAGATCTAGAATCTAATTCCTTCCTCTTCTTAACAGCAGGAACATTAGGAGTGGGCTTAGGCTATTGAGCATTTGTCTCAATGCCTGACCCTGGGGTTTGTACTCCTTGTTCATCCACTGTTGAAGATGGAAGAGGTCCAGTTCCACATCCACTTATATTTTGATTGCTCTCCATCTATAAGGAATTAAGGATGAGCAAATTGGGTTCACATAACTTACAAACTTAGGAATCAGTGATTCACATTTCACACAAGCACACATAAGGACATACACTGATACATATTCCATAATCAGGATTCATGATTCATGAACTCATCATTTTATGAAAATGCCCACAAATTAGGGCTTAACACTTCCCCAAACCACAGTCAACCATCAAGGGATCAACAATTTAACCAATTAACCATTTAACCATACAGCCATACTCAGTAAGTCAGTAGTAAGTACTCACTACTCAGTACTGACTACTGACATACATAATTACATATAACACATTAACAAATTCATTCCATAATCAGGAGTCATGGATCATGAATCATGAACTCATCATTTTATGAAAATGCCCACAAATTAGGGCTTAACACTTCAACAATCATCCAACAACTAACATAACCAATTAACCATACAGCCATACTTAGTACTTCCACAATGGCACCATAAGTGCTTAACAACATACATATAACTGATATAAGTGAATAAGTCATATAACACATTCATTCCAATTTTCAACAGTCAACCATCAACAATTTAGCATTCAACATGGATATCATAAATTCATAATATAAATTACAACTCAATAGGCTTCCACCACCAACATACATTTTGAAATTACAAATTTAAGTGTCTTTTAACCATAAACTTACAAATACATATCAGAATAAGCACAAATTCATCACGCATGTGGAAAGCCCTAAAAATTAGGGTTCAGTTACAAATTAGGGTTCATGCAACATCATAAAACTAGAACAGAACAGACAAACATGCAACGGGAAAATAAGAAAAAAAAAATGACAGAGTTACATTTTACTTGTTTTCTCAAATGTTGCCTCTGAGATCTAGGGCTTCAAGGCGTCAAACTTCCACTAGCGTCCAACTTCTACCGTCTTTCCAGTTTGCATAGAGATTTCCACAAGATCCCCGTCGAACTGTCGAAGACTCGAAGGGGAGTTCGGGATGGACAGACTCTAAGACTCTCAGAATCTCAGACTTTAGAGAATCAGAGATTCACGGGAGAACGGAACTTATGGAAGAAGATTAGATGAGAAGGACTGAAGATCAGATGGGAAGATCAGATGAGAAGATCAGATGGAGAAATCGAGAAGAAGCTTAGAGAGAGTTTGAGGTGAGCAGTGGAGGAGAATGGAAATGGCATAGTGGCAACTGACAAACCTTAAGTCTAAGAAGGGTTTTATATTAAGCATATACTTCGGATCTAGGACGGGTTCGGTTGGGATAAATCCTAACCCTACCCGTCCGTCCTTTATATACAAACCATTACTCGCCGGTTCGGATATAATCCGAAGTTTTCGGATTCCCTCAAGATGCGGTGATTCATTGATCGGGTCGGACGGGTTGTTCGAATCCTTCGGGGGTATTGCACAGCCCTACTCAAGGGGTCAAGCCATGCATTTTGGACCACCTCTCCTTATCTATGCAATACTCTCTCCACCGTACTTTCACATCATCAAATTATACTCTCTGTCCCATTTTATCTGTCCTACTTACTATTCATTGTTTTCTTTGTTTATTTTCTTATTGTACTTTTAGTGTAGTTTCTAAATATATAAATTTTATATATTAATATTGTTAACCAAACCAGACATATAAAATGGGACAGATATACTATATTCAAAAATCACGTCTACCACCCACCATTTAAGACGGAAATATTAAGGGGATAGGTGAAATTACTATATTCAAAAATCACATCTAACACCCCTTCATTACAAATTTAATTCAAAGTTCCAACTTTTGTAACACCCTTTAATCGAACTCATTGTGTAAGACCAAAATTAGTATTTGCTCATTCAAAAAGTTACAAGTTTAATTCCATAAGATCAATTTTTGTAACACCCTTCTAATCAAACTCATTGCACAAGATCTTCCTAGTAGGAGACTTTCTTTCTTTGAATAATGATGCCGACCAATACACTAACTTTTTTTATAAAAAAAAAATTAAAAATGTACATAGATGACATACAATCCAATCAAAGAACTGCAAAAGGGATAAAACAATAACATCAAGCCATAAATATTAACAAAAATGAACATTTTGCTAATGTGACAACCTGTCTTAACAGATAAATTAAAGAATGTGCTGCTCACAAGTCCTTTCTACTTTAAACAAACACCTAAAACAAGCTAATAAAAATGGTAAAAGGAAACAAAAAAGAAGGAAAAAGAGAACAAAAAGGCTCACCACAAACAGGTGGACACAATTTCTAAAATTAGTCTACAACGATTATAGGACCAATTCAATATCATCCTAAAAGTTAAATACTCGCAACAATTTGAGAAAAAACAGGATAACATAGAGAATTTGAGCAGGCACTCTTAGAACATCATAGTTGCTGCAATGCTTTCTGGTTTTGACCAACTAAGCACCTCCAGCTACCGCATGGATCGGCCCATTTGATTTGAATCCACGCCCTCGCCCCCGAGGTCCCCCCCTTCCATGACCGCGGCCTGCACCATTTGTCACCCATGGAAACGGTGAATTCATGTTTGAAGTAATTGTAAAAAGGATGGATAGTCATATTGGTATCAAGGGCTACTACTATGTGCAAGTTTTGAGATGCTTGAAAGAAAAGAGTTATGCACAAGAGCAAATGTTATTTAGTCTAGAGATATGCAATGCAGTACCTCGGCCCTGAGGAGGAGCCTCGTGGTTGTAGCCACCATCCTGTTGGGTATCAAACTGTGGGCTATTGTAACCACCGCCCCTTCCACGTCCGCGGAAATAGCGGCCTCTACCCCGACCCCTTCCCCTACCACCATAGTTGCGACTTCTATCATAACCACCATCATCATACTCCATACCCATATAACCATTTCCTGCAGCAAGATGTAAAAATCATCATTTCCAAGCAAATATGAGACTGAAAAATTAAAGCCTCGCAGTTATGATCAACACAAAATAACAGTACAAGGAATCATGTTCTAACAATATGCATAAATCTACTATTTTACTAGACAAATAATGTTATATTACTAAATTCACTTCAGATCATCCGTATAAAGTAAATATATATATATATATATATATATATATATATATATATATCCTAATTGAACTGTATACAGATCAAGACTCTATGGAAAAGTCCTCTTAATCAGCTAGTAGATGGTAATCAAAATCCATACCAGATGCAGCTCTACCACCTCGGCCTCTTCCTCTACCACCCCGGCCTCTTCCTCGAACATTAGGTGATCCTTCTGGATGAAAATTAAGTATCAGATGATATTCCAATTACACACATCAAGAATAGTAAGTTGCAAAATAGGATACCACCTCCTTCATAATCAATCTCTGTAAACACCTTCACCTGATCTGCTGGTATGGGTGGCTGATACCTGCAGAACAATAAATGGTAATGAGCATTATAAATTTAAACTAAGAGCCTGTTTTGGTACTCTCCCCAAATTTCATTCACCCAAAGAAAATTTTGATTTGGCTCAACTAATATTGTTAGGAGAAAACTCACTAGGAGATATTATGTTCTACATTCAGTAAAAAAATTGTAAACTCACCCGACAGATTTTGTATCAAGCTCATTCTTAGAGAGAGTAATTGTAATCATTGAAACATGCCTGACGGTTTCCAATCTACAACCAAAACAACGAAAATAAGGGACAGCCACTTCAAAATGCTTGTCATTCAATACAGTGTGAAATTCAGTTTGAGGTGCTCTTACGGAAGGAGGCCTTCCTCCAGGGGCTCCCATGTATCAGTGATATCAGTGGATGTAATAGCTGTAATTTGATGAAGGCCAACAATCCTCCTCTACAATAAGAATAAAATAATTTTAAAAATCATGATAAGGAAAACAAAATTAAGAAGAGCAAAAAACATAAGAACAATGAGATAGGGCAAACCTTAATAAGCTCCACCATAGTTACAGTTTTGTTGATTGCTCTACCCATGGCCTTGAACACAATCTCATCGGATCCTTTTTCCTACATTAAAAGGCATTCAATAATTCACAAATTCAGCCTTTTGCCAGTCTCATTACACCATATATCAATGAATTTGACGTATTGCGTGTAGGACATTCAATGATTGGTAAAACTTCTCAGGTATAGAGAAGAAGATTCCTCATCCATCTCAGGTGGAAGATGACGGCTCTTCGTCCAATGAAGAAGAGGAAGCATGAAGCATCACATCACGAGGGCCTAATTGCATTGTTTCCAGAATTTAAGTGCATATTTGGAGTTTTTCCAATTCGGTAGTCTAATTGCATTTGTTTGTTTAAGAAGTTTGAAGACTTCTGACCATTTATACCAAAATATTAAAAAATCACAGGCCAGTGGTTCAATGCATGCACTAATTAAAGAAAAGTTCTCATTTTAATGAGGAATCCAAATTCATAGTTAAATCCATCCGCTACAATTTGCTGCCACATCAACAATGAATGTAGACACCCTTCAAAAATTCATACTCTTTTTATTAGTCGAACAGCCTCATTTTGTAATAGGAGCTAGGAAGCACCCATAAAATTTATATGAGACTGCAAATGTCAAAAGTTATTGTCTCAAATCGAACGGATTGAAGCACAATTGAAGAAAATTGTGCTTTAATACATCAACCAAGTGAACATAATCTTTGAGGAGAGATTCAGTCTTAAGAATGCCAACCAGCCTCCAAAAACTTCATCAAATCTCAATCTAATGCTTGTCAACTCCGAAGCTTCCCAGAAATTTATCCACGACTCCATAGCTTCAGGCGAGAATTGTTCATCCTAGTGTGTTCAGTCACTTCACCTCAGGTATGCATTCAATATATTGTGCAGTACTATTGTACTAAAGCTATTAAGTTCCTCAATGTTTTTGAGGAACTTGTGGTTGGAAATGGTATCTTTCCAGTTATTCTAAGAAATAGCTATTTATATGTCACAATCGATTAAAAGAAGAATGGAGTTCCTAGGGATTAGGGATGAAAAAAAGCATGTGAACAAGATGTGGTAGTAAGGAGGTGAAACTAGGACTAACTCTCAGGTGAACAAGCATGCGAACTCTAACTTAGTAAGACTCGGGTTTCTCTCTTCAATTCTTTTCTAAAGATATACCATATTCCAGTAAAATTTCTTCCTATATTTGGTTATCTATGAACGGTTTACCTTAAATCATAACTTAATTCTAACACACATAGGCAAACTTTCAGCACCAAGGTAACACCAATTCATTTAACCAAACCATATAGACAGCAAAACATTCACACAAGTATAGTTTCAAAAGCATATAAGATACTCAGCATGAATCAATACATGTGAAGCAAATAAGTATGGTGTGCACCAATTAATATAAACTGTATACCTGAAGCAGACTCATAGCATAAGTGATGTAGCTTCGCATCCTTCCCTGGCTAGTAATCCGAATCTCATTCTCATCAATGGGTGTCTCTGCTCTAGGCTTCTCAACCTTCTGGTACCGATCCATCTATCCACAACAAAGAAAAACTCACTGCTTAACACTGTAACCTCCAGAAAAAAACAAAACGAAAACAAAAACAAAACTTCAAGCAAATCCCAGATTTTATTCCGTACAAGGTTGGATCTCTGAGTGAAAAATCAAATTGAACCGCTGAACACAACAGTAAAAAGAATCTAGGGTTTCTGAATTAAACCTAGGGTTTATCGTTTCATCAATCCATTATCCAGAAACCATAAAACACAGTAAACTGTTACTAGGATCTGAAATGACTGAAGCTTTTATCCATAGATACCTGTGGCTTGGAATAAGGATAAGATTAGTATGCTCCACGAGAGAAAAGCCCTCTTCTTCGGCTTCGTTTCTTCGTTTACGCCCTGGCCGCTTTGCTGCGGAGTCGCAAATATTTATAGCCGGTTCGGGGCAGCTGCCCTAACTCTATTCGGCCGGTTTAACCGGGAAAGGATTTGCCCTCCTAATCCTACTAAACCTCAAAGCAACAATATCGTGATATAATATTAAAATTTGTTCCCTTCAAATGATTTTCATACCGAAAAATCACGAAATTTATCAAGTATACTCTCTTATGTTGTGAGCTGTCTTTGATCATATTATTTGAAGTGATGTTCCTCTTTCGTTTATTGTAAATGTTTCTGATAACGAAATACAGTTACGTTCATTTTCAAAAAAAAAAATAAAGCAAGGTTGTGAGTTGTCCTCGTAATTACATTTTTTTATAAAATAAATAAGATTTCCAATTTACTTAATATGTTTTAAAATCTAAAATATTAATCACAATCAATAATATTTTATTTCTTCTATTTGCATATTGTTTATTTTAGCTAGTAATTAGTAAGTATCATTAGTTTATAACTTAAGAAATTGTTACTCACCCCTACAATTTTAGCTGCATTTTTACTAATTGATAAAGAAAATACAAATATTATGTCTAAATATGATATGGCAACGACCCTAATTGTCTGTTCTTTGTATACTCTAGAGAATTATAACTTCATTCTTTCCTTACCATATGTGCAACTATGAGTTTTAGTTCTAAAATATGAAATTTGTTATTGTTGTTATTGTTATGTCAAGTATTTAAATATGATGTTATTATTACTTCATACGTTAACATATTTTCATAATCTTTATTACCAAAATATGGTTATTTTTATTTTCAAAAAAAAAAATGGTTCTTTTTGAAGTATGTATCATTCTATCATTGATTACCAGAATATGATACCATTCTCTTAGTAAAAGTCAATACAAGTGTAAAGTGCTTGCAATAAACGCTAAACCTCAATAAATATATCTCCATGGCACCAATGAAACTGGTATGGGGTTTCTCTCCGTATAATAAGAAAAAAGTATATTTTCGTGGCATAAATTTGGACAATTATTATAGTATTAGAATAAGTTATGATAGGAGTTTCAAAGAGGTAGATGTTGAAAGTGTTTCGTTGAATGGTATAGCAATAAATACAAAGAATGATGTTGTGGATTGGCATGCCAAGATGGTTGTGGAAAGAAGTGAAGAGTGGAGGGTGTTCAAAGACTCACCACCGTGGTGTTTTGAGATTGTGAGGGATGATATATTGAGCTTTGTGGAACAACATTCCATGTATGCAAGGGTGTAGGCTCTCCCGTAGTTTTTATTCTCCGGGTGTCCTCCCCTCCCGTTCCAAAAAAAAAAGTAATGGTACCTTGTGTTCATGTTGTGAGAGCAATTAGGAGTATGCTCCACAAAGAGTGGTCAATAACGATCTCGTATACTACATAAATTGTATTCGCTCCTCATTGTAATCCTAATTAAAGGCCTAAATAGTTCAAACTATGTGATCTTTAGAGCTATTGAAATAGATGGTCTACCTACTGATCGATGTTGACCTCCATAGTATTTCATTATTTGTGTTGTTTTTCTTAAATGCTCAAAGTAAATAAAATTAAATAAATTATTTACTTGTAGAGTGTCGTTCAAAAATTGCAATGTGATAAAATTTTGACAAGAATATAAAACAATTTCAATGTAAAATTATCTCTTTAATTTTAAAATTAATTGCTATGGAGTAGCCTACAAAATTCTTTATGTAAAATCTTGAGTTTCATTGATCAACAAGGGTTATAGCTTTTAACCCAAATAAAGTTCAACAATACTTGCACGTTTAATTTGTTAAAATTTAGGGGAAAGAACCACCTTCTTTAGCAAAAAGGTTGGCAACATACTTTGCAAATTGTTTAACAAAATGAAGGCAAATATATATATATATGGCCATGTTGTTAGGTGTGGTCATATGGTCAATTATAGGTCATTAGATTAGATAGATCCAATGAATCATATTAATCAAGATTTTTTTAGTATTTTCGCGCACATTCTCCTACCCAGCGAACTGCAAGGGTAAACTCGTCATAAAATACCAGAATATTAATCAAGATTTTCTTGTGTGTTTTATTACACTATTGGTGCATGTTGTCAACACTGTTGGTGTATTCTGGAACCCGACCGCTATAAATGGCCATTGTAATTACCATAACTCGGGAATACACCATTGGTGTGCTTCACTGTGGTGTGTTTTATTACACTATTGGTGTATGTTGTCAACACTGTTGGTGTATTCTGGAACCCGCCCGCTATAAATGACCACTGTAATTACCATAACACCCCCACCTACCAAAACACGCGAAAATCCTCAAAATTATCACTGCCGTTAGATTAAACTGATTCAACGACACAGATATGACCACACGACCACACCTAATGATATGACCACATATGAGCGCTCTTCTATATATATATATATATATATATATATATATATATATATATATATAAATCTTAGTTGAATTTCAATCCACTAGAAACTTAAAAGAATTAAATTTACATCATAATTAACTAAATTTATATTTCAGTCATAACTGATAGATTAAAAGTGTTTTTTTCTTTAACATTTTATAATTATCGAATGACGAATATCAAATTATAAAGTTCGCTACTAGATCGATTCAACAAGTCAAGATAAGTAGTTTCTTAAGAAGGTCAATAAATTAATAACTCGGGTGGACTAAACTCGTCATAGCTCATCATTATATCAATTCCCGGGTCTCACCATGGGATAGCCCGACCCGCAAATATTTCCCACGGCCGATATTACTGTAACCGATACAAAACGTATACATTCATGCAAAGAAATTAAACATGGCTGAAGAAGAGAACAATCCAGCGAGAACGAAGGTAAAAGCAAAGCAAAGAACCTCTCGAAAATCAAACCTAATAAACCCTCACCATTGATCAATCCTCCCACAAAATCGCCATTAACGTTCTCCGTACGTCTACTCAAACCCTTATCTACTTCAATTCCCCGGCAGGCCGGCAGTTTACCTTCTTCTTCTTCAATTCAATGGGTCAATGCTGCCCAATCGGGAGGCAAGAGATTCCGATATCATCTGATCCAGACGCCGCTAATAGCTTCGCTCATCAGATAACGATAGAAGCGCCGCGTCAATCGCCATCGCCGCCTTCGCCGCCGCCGAAACCGACTCACACTTTCGTGCCGCCGAAATTCGGGAGATCAGCGACGCTTCCGCCGAACGTACACATCGGCCCGATTCTCGGGAATCTGTTAGTGGATATCAGCACGATATACGATATGGACAGGGAATTAGGGCGGGGGCAATTTGGAGTTACGTATTTGTGTACGGAGAAATCTACGGGGCTGAAATACGCGTGCAAGGCGATTCCGAGGAGGAAGCTGGTGGCGACGAAGGATATGGAGAACGCGAGGAGGGAGATTATGATGCTGCAGCATTTGACCGGGCAGCCGAACATCGTGGAGTTCAAGGGGGCGTATGAGGACCGGAGGACGCTGTATTTGGTGATGGAGTTGTGCTCCGGCGGGGAGCTTTTTGACCGGATAACGGAGAAGGGGAGTTACTCCGAGAAGGAGGCGGCGAAGATTGGGCGGCAGATTGTGAATGTGGTTCATGTTTGCCATTTCATGGGAGTGATGCATAGGGACCTTAAGCCTGAGAATTTCTTGTTTGTGAGCAGAGATGATGACTCTCCCTTGAAGGCCACCGATTTTGGACTGTCTGTCTTCATTGAGGAAGGTAAAGTTGAAAATTCTCAGTTTCATTTCCTAACTAAATTTTTAACTTTTTTTTTTTTGCTTCGTCGCAACACTGTACTTCCAAATCTCAATTCTTGATGTAGCGGGCTCTGATACTATTTTTTTATGAGTTAATACCCAAAATCGTCCTCGACTATAGTGGTTTTTCTCAATTTCGTCCTAAACGACTTTGGTGACCTAATATCGTCCCAGACTTTTGTGTTTCGCTCAATTTAGTCTTCCATTTGTTATTCCGTCAAATTGGTGTTAAATAAAGGGACAATTCAGTAATGTCAATATTGATCTCTCTTTACTTTCAACTTGTGAAGTGCGAAATTCCTCTTTCTTGTACGAATTACACCCAGAATTACTCCCGGACCTGCAAATCAAATTTTATATTCGCAGTTTTAGGAGTAATTCCGGGAGTAATTCGTAAAAAAAAAAAGGATTTTGCAGTTCACATGTCTATGAGTAAAGAGATGCCAATATTAAAATTACTGAATTGTCTATTTATTTAACACCAAATGGACAGAATAACAAATGAGGGACTAAATTGAGCAAAAACACAAAAGTCTGGGACTAAATTGAGCGAAATACAAAAGTCTGGGACGATATTAGGTCACCAAAGTCGTTTAGGACGAAATTGAGAAAAGACACTATAGTCGAGGACGATTTTGGGTATTAACTCATTTTTTTATATAGATCTTAATATAAATATCTATATCAAAGATTTTGTATCTGGAGTAATAGTTGAAAGTATAAACTAGGTGTACAAATAGTATTTTTCTAATTTCTATTAGACGGTTACGGTTCTTTTTTATATGAAAAAAAATAATTATTATTATTAAATATGTTTTGGAATTCAATTAGTATTTGATCGTATATATGGTAGCGACACGTGGCTAAAGTCATCAATACAAATAATTTTTAATAATAATATAAAAAAGAATAATGAATATTAGAAATATGGATTAGGAATATTTTTTATTTTTCAATTTTTGAGCAACCAACTTGTTGGGTGTCAGCAAAGTTGTTCGAGACGTGACGTTGCCATGACTTATCATGGAAAGGTGTGGTTAAATGATTAATGTTTACCTATTTATCATTATAGATTTTAAGTAGAATATGACAAAAAAAAAACTTTGTGGTTGAGTGTGAGCAGCATAGTGCTGCTGGGATGTGGGATCCATCACAATTTATTGAAATCTCATGTTTTTTTCGATAACCACTAGGTTTAAAGTTCGACTCTTCGTGAAAACTATCTATTGGTTTGAGCCGGTTAGTTAATACGGGTTTCTATAGATTAAAATAATAGGTATAACTTACTAACAAATTGCTTCATTAAGATGTGGAAGCTAGACAATAAGTTAATTTATCTTTTATAAACACACTTTTTTAACTCCCCTCTGTTGTTTGTCTCTGTTCTAAGTTGTGACATGAACATGAACCTCTTATGTTAATAACCCATGAATTCAAAGAACAATGATTGTTCAGGCAGAGTGTACAAAGAAATTGCCGGAAGTCCTTACTACGTAGCCCCTGAGGTATTGCGAAAGAGCTATGGAAAGGAGATAGATGTGTGGAGTGCTGGAGTTATACTATACATCCTTTTGAGTGGATTTCCCCCATTCTGTGCAGGTAATCATACTTTTACCTCCACATATACACTTCCGATCTTAATGGCAAATTATTCTGTGGACTCAAGTCCACATTGCAAGGTAAACCCGAATTCAAAATACACAATTTACATACTGATAGGGTTGAAAAAATCGCTAAACGCCTAGACAGCCGTTTTAATTTTTTAATATTAATTTTTTAAAAAAGAAAATTAGTTAAACTCCTGCCTAGGCCACGTCGACCTACTCGGCGCCTAGAGCGCCTAAGCGGCCGACCGCCTAAAACGGCGATTCCAGCGAATTTCTATGCGACCGACCGCCACCTAGCGCCTAGGCGCGATTTTTGCAACCTTGCATACTGAATGCTCACAATTTTGTAAAAGGTAAAAGAACATTCAATATGCAAATTGTGTATTTTAGACCTGAATTTACCTTGCAAGGTGAACCCTGGTCCATGGTATAACAATTGTATCTTAATTGTGTGGGTTTCCTAATGTCATTTCATGTTAGAAGAATGAACTTATCATGATAATCCAAACTCAATGTAAAAACTAGGTTAAGATGGTATTTATAAGATTTACATTAGTTGATATATGCATCTTGCGAAATAAGACTAATCGGACTGAAACTTGGTTAAGACTCTAAAAGTCAAATCAGGGGACAACTCTCTTAAAAGCGCTCTACATCCATTGGGCTAGTGGGTTACACTCATCACTTATCAAACTCAGCATGTTTCAGTGAACAAGATCTCTCTGTTTTCCATGATCTGGTCTCTGATAAGATCATATCCTTACTCCTTAGATTCCTATTGACCTGACATTACATGGCCAACATTTGATGGCTGAAATATTCCATTCTCCTATGCTAAAAACAATATCATCATGGGCAGTAGACATAGATATGTTGTCTATGCCCCATTTCTTGTGCAAGTAAGAAATGGCCAATACTATGTCTGCCCAATAGTTATGCTGTGGAATCGTGTTCACCATGCGCATGGTGAACACGGGATAGATCCATAATTTCTAAGCTGTAGATTCATAATTTCTATACTGTAGATTCATAACATCTATACTGTAGATTCATAATTTCTATACCGTACTGTAGATTCATAATTTCTACAACATAGAAATTATGGATCTACCTCTGTGTTCACCATGCGCATGGTGAACACGTTTCCACAGCATAATTTGCGATGTCTGCCCCACCTGTTAGCTCTGCATCACATAATTTTTCAACATCTTAATAATCATTGGTTTGCTACACTTCAGACAATGATAAAGGCACATTTGAAGAAATTCTGAAAGGACAGCTTGATCTAAAAAGTCCTCCTTGGCCTTCCATATCTCCTGATGCAAAGGATCTTATCAGAAGAATGCTGGCAGTGGATCCCAGAAAAAGGATAACTGCAGCAGAAGCCCTTGGTGAGTGGATATTCTAACTCGTTCTTTAACCAAATGCCTAACCTCAAAGTTAAGTAGTAAAATTTCAATCTACCATTCAAATGTACAGTAAACTAAGCATATACTGTGTCTGTGTGAGTGTGTGTATTCATTTTTGTAAAGCATCGTTAAAATTTGGAACGTGATATATGAACTAGAACATCCATGGCTCAAGGAAGATGGCAATGCATCAGACAGACCTATTGATAGTGCTGTTCTAAACAGGATGAAGCAATTCAGAGCAATGAACAAGATGAAGCAGCTTGCTCTGAAGGTACCAGTAATACGGTTATAATGCTAAGTTTCTTGCAAACCTGATTTTTTTCATGAAGCTCTAATCACTTTCTGAGTTTCTGGTATTTGCACCGCATCATTTTCCTGCACCTTTGTCCAGTTTTCTGTCTATTTCTGCACTCTTTTGATGCCTGAAATGTGTATTCCTTGAAGGTCATAGCAAAGACCTTATCAGAAGAGGAAATCAAGGGGCTGAGAGAGATGTTCAACAATATGGACACTGATAGGAGTGGCACTATCACATATGAAGAACTCAAGACTGGGTTAGCTAAGCTTGGATCTAAACTTCCAGAAACGGAAATACAACAGCTGATGGAAGCAGTAAGAATTTTACTACTCCGAAATTTCAACTGCAGCATTCATCTCATTACTTCCGTCTTTCCTCCTAGGCTGATGTTGACAAGAATGGAACTCTCGACTACTTTGAGTTCATCACTGCTACCATGCATCGGCATAAGCTTGAGAAAGAAGAGAACTTGTACAAAGCTTTTCAACACTTTGACAAGGATGACAGTGGGTATGTACTCGTTTTTTCTTTTTTCTGCTTTTTTGTTTTCAGGTGGGTGCGATAATAATCTGACATTAAATTTGCCAGATACATCACAAGAGAGGAGCTTAGACAAGCTTTGACTGAATATGGCATGGGGGATGAAGCCACCATTGATGAAATCCTCAATGATGTAGATACAAATAAAGTATAAACTCACAGAAAAACTTTATCCCCTCCTTCCCGTTATAGTTTCTTCAGTAGTGACGCCTAAAAGCTATGTTCTGTTCAATTACTATGCAGGACGGGAATATTAACTATGAAGAGTTTGTAGGAATGATGAAGAAATGGGGGTAGTAGATGGTCAAGGGAAGCAGGGATAATATTAATACTCTGTTGCAAATTCTTTAATTGATTTGTAAATGTGCATCAGAAGTCCAAACTTCCACACTGTTTGCTCTGCAAATTCTTGGTGCCATTAGCTTGTTTTGTATTCTTGGTATGATCACTATTAAGTCCTCGGCTACGCCCAATTCCCAGTTTGGGTAAACCCCGATTTAGTCCGTCCAGCAAAACACATGCTTTACACCATTTCTGCAAATTAGACACAAAAGAATAAATCCCCAACTATCAAATAGAAGATTCAGGCACAAAAGAACAAACCATTTACAATATGGGCAGGTGTACTGAAAATATACTTGTAAATTTGTCTTTTTACCTGGCTGGATATGTAACCACATCGTTCGCAATTTCCTTGTTCTGGCATTTTTGCGGAAGTCGAGATCCTGAAGTCCTCACCAGATTTGATGATATCCAGTATGGATTGTGGTCTGTAATGGACCATAGACAGATTACTTAGTATGGATCCAGAGCTTTGAATACTGTAAGAACCAAAAATGAATAATCCAACCGGGCAGGAATGTTAACCTGATTCTCTCTAAATCCTTGATGAACTCACGAGCAAAGCCACGGTATGCATTTGGAGAGTAAATGCCTGAACCCAAACAAACTACTTAAATTCTTACGTAAGGAATAAGAACCACTTGAGCACAAAAATAGCAGCATGCAAACTCAGGAAGTATGGACACTAGTACAATTAAAGAAGCTGGCTTATTCAGTATCATATCTCATGAAACATGTCACACGCAATCTCAATTATAAAAACTGAATAAAAAATATTACAATAAACAAAAATAAGATTGAATTTACACTTACATTCAGTGGAGAAGTAATCCAACTTTTTAAAGTATGCATACGTATTCAGTAAGTTAAGGAAATTCAATCAATAAATTATAAGAATCAGATAGTAGAAATCCTACATTCCTACTCAAGAGATTTTCCAATAAATAAAGTCTTCAATATATATATATATATATATATATATATATATATATATATATATATATACACTACATGTACTCCCTAATTTTACTCCCTGATGTGGCAGATTCTGATAAGTTATTTTTTTCATGTGGGTCCCAATACAAATGTCTACATCAAAGGTTTTCTGTGTAGGAGTACAAATTGGGAGTACATGTAACATTTTCCATATATGTATCAACAACTAGAGATATTTTGAAGCAAAAAATGCCATTACTCTACATATCCTGACAAAATGAAAGGATATATAACAATTTCCTTCTCGTATGTGTATTTGAAAGGCTTGCATCTAGGAATAGGTCCATCTTCTCCAGTAACTATAGATGTACACCTACTCAACCTAGTATTTTAAGAATATTAACTGTGTTAACAAATTTATAAAGAAGAAAAAAGGAAGAATAGAAAAAAACGCTAAAAACTAGAAACAATTACCTGGCAATATCACCACGTAATATGTTCAGAAGAACTGTTTCAGCTATATCATCTGCATTATGCCCAGTTACTAGCTTGTCCACTTTTAGCAATGCAGCACCACGGTCAAGGGCCTTATAGAAAAAGGAACTACTAAATAAGAAATTGCACAATTCCTTATAGTGATCAAAACTTGATAGGCCACAGCATTAAACAAGCAAGTGCTCGGACAAAATCTAATGCCCAAAAGATCAGTGTATTCTAAAACCTTGCTAATAATTATGTCACTTTTCAGCAGTGATGATGGGCACAATTTAACTAGCAGAAAGAACCAAAATTAATGCGCAACAGAAAACATTTTAAGTCTAAATCGAGCTTTCTTTTTAACATTATGAAAACCCAAACTTCCCTTGGCAGTGTTGTACAGGCCCAAATTGAACAAAGAGCTAACTTCCAGTCATGAAATAGATAAAAGATTTACCTGGCGACGGAAAACACCACAAAAAGTGCAGTTGTTCTTCAGACCTATCAACTTTACTATTTCATCCATTGTCCATCCATACAGCTCCTTATAGGAAACAACTTTCAATGGAAGTCCATACTAGGTTTTTCAGGGGTGGGGGACAAAAACAAACAAAGAGAATAAGAGACATAACTAAATAAATACACTTCAATAAAACAAGAATGATTAGTAAAAAAAAAATCACAACTCCAAAAGTTCAAAAACTAAAGAGATTAAAAATTAATAAATATGTCATATGCACACCTGGATTTCATTTCTTTTAACAGTTTCAAGAGAATCATCCCTGTAACCAGTGATACCTTCATCCACAGATAACAGGAAGAGATCCAGGCCATAATTGTGCCTGCGATTCAACTCTGACATCACATAAGCAAGCACCGTGGAGTCTGAACCAAGAAGAAGAAAATTAACAAACAATCAATGTATGGCACTCTTAACATGTGGAATTAAATATGAAGGCCTCAGTTTTACAGATCAGATGGCCTTGATCATGTGAATTTGAGAAATACGTGTCCACATATAGTAACAAAAATTGAAACTTTCAGCAATCCAGGCAATCAAGTAGAACCTATGAAATAAATTCTTCTTTTAACAAATTACATATAGCACTAAGATGCTTGTTAAAACCTAAACGTGCACATAAAATATAGAAACACTCAAACAAGGCAAGATAGCTGAAACAAATATTTCCTAGCAGTGGAATTCATCCAAAATAACAGGGCAACTAATACATTTGAAAAAGTTATCACTGAAAACTCTATTCACATCAGAGTAAGATGGCCAGAGCCAAAGAAAAATATCCTTTAAGTGAATCTCTTTCATTCTTATATCTTCTCTATCCCTTTATGTTAAGCATTGCAACTAAACTTAATGAATATTGAGCTCACCAGTCAATCATGCCTAATTAATTACAGTAAAAGGTAATTCAAAGCTATGAAGTGAGTATGTAGATTGCAGAATTTCTCTTAATTTACACAATAAAATAAACTTCAATCACAATATATGTGCGCGCGCACACACACACACACACATATATATAGACCTTTTCCGCCAGAAGCGCCAACAGCGATGCGTTCGCCGGGCCTGAAGAGCTGGTTGTCGACGATAACCCTATGGATCTCCTCCTCGAAAACTTCATAGAAGCACTCCCTGCATATCTTTCATCGGAAAAACAACAGAGCTAGTAAGAAGACAGGGAGAGGTGCTAAAAAAAGTAAGCCGCCGCGACTGCTACTTACTTGTTGAAGAGTTTTAGGGCGTTTCAGGGCGGCGCGTCTTTCATTGCAGATAGCGCACTGTCTACCCTTCGGTTTCGCCACCGCCGTCGCCGACTCCATGTAGATGGCCACCGCGCCGTCGCCGGTTTTCGCCGGTTTCTTCTTGTTAATAATAAAACGCTCCTCGCGGAGATTGCCCCTTCGGCCCTTCCAAACCCGGAGGAATGTTTAATATTGGCCCCAATATTTTCAATCCCTTACGTTCTGGCCCCGTGAAAACAATAATTAACTATTCGGCCCTTTAGGGATTAACAAATACAAATACTCCATAATTAAATAAATGTCAAGCAACATGTGCTCAGATGGCATGTAGTGACATTTCTTATATAGGAGCTCATGAGATTGAGTCTCGACTCTGTATGTCTCTACAATGTAATAGAGTCAGTAACATTTTGGACAAAAAAAAATGAAGACTCAAACCGATTAAGCAAGAGGTCTCCACCACCAAGCTACACATTAAACTTGTTTTAGGATAATTAAAATTTTGTAATATGTAATAATACTTAGTCAAACCGTCTAATTGCAAGAAACTAACAGACAATGTGAAGGGCAAGCTGATCCTTGGGGCAAAACTTCTCCAAGTAGGTGGCGTTGAAAAGGTGTTCAAGACGAATAAGTATTATTACAAATTTTTAATTTTTTCGAAATAAGTTTAGAGTGTAGCTTAGTGGTGGAGACCTCATTCTTTATACAAGAGGGTGCGCATTTGAGTCCTCACTCTTTTTTGGTCCAAAAATCAATATTTAGTACATAGACTAAATTAAATAAAACACCATAGTAACCTAGCAGGTACTTTAACCTCCAACTTCTAAAGATAGTCCATTCCCCTTGTTCGCCCATCAACACACCTTTTGCTGTCACTTCTCTTGGTTGACCACTTGCAAATGCAATTATATATTCACATCAATTGGATTTTTAGTACATAGAATTTGGTATGAGAAAAAAAAAAATTGATGAATTTAATTTCTGAATTATATAAATAAGTCAATATTTAATTATGTATTATAATTATTATTTTAATTTATCTTGTCACAATTAAAATAATCAAAATGAATTTAATTCACTGTTTACGGTCTTATCTTACCTAGTCATCTAATAAAGCTGATGGCATGTTGGGATCTAATGAAGTAGGGGTTAGGAATGAGGATTTAGAAGTCCTAGACTCTATATGTATTATCAAATGGCGGACTTTTAAATTAACTATTAATTAAATATAATTTTTAAAAATTTAATAGACGAACAAGTTAAAATATTATAGACTTGTCCTAGATAGTGAAATGATAGGCTTTAGCATGCTACGAGTAGTCAATCCACTTTGTTAATACTAGTAATCACAATTACTTATTTCGTCTTAAATTTTATACATGATTTAATTATCAATGTCAAAATATATAAGCAAATGACATGAAAATCTAGAACAGTCAAATACGATATAATTATTTAATCCTCTATGATATTGATGCACACCAAATTCTTCTTTTTTTTTCCTCTCTATATTTATTATTAATTTTATTTTTACCCCTTTAAAAAAGAGAGTAGAATTTGAACTAAAATATGAAGCATCACATAAAAGGGTTTAACTCTAACTCATATTATAATTTTATAAATTTTATAAATTCTATAGAACTCGAAAATATTTCCTTTTCTTTTATATAACTTCAAGAATCCATCATGGGCGGATCCAAACACGAGTAATCTCAAGCAATCAATACTTTTCAGTTTCGTCTAATTTGGTTGTTGAGCAGAGCCGCTCTCATCTCCGCCGCGTCCATCTCCTTCGCGATATTCTCCGGCCGGTAGTACCCGGTGACGGGGTCCGGCACCCACGAAGTTTCCTTTCTCGACGCTTCTCCAGCCTTCTTCATCACCCCGCCGCCGGACACTTTTCCCTGCGACGCCGCGGCCGCGGCGTACCCCCTCCGCACAGCGACGGAGACCCTGTCGGCGACGTAGGCGGAGACGAGCTTGGCGTTGGAGAAAGAGCGAGCCATCTCGTCGTCGATCGCTGGAAGGCAACAATTCAAAACAATTGCTTAATCGAGAGTATATAAAGCTAAAGCGAAGGTGCTGGAGATTAGAAAGTAGAAAGTATGAAGTGTTTGGGCTATGGAAGATGAATTTGTTTGTGAAGACGAAGGTGTATTTATAGGCGATGAAACGCGTGAGGAGGAAAGGAGAGAGAAAGAGAGATACCACTTGGGAGCGAGGTGGAGCCAAGTCTAAGGTGGTTGTGGGGGGTAACCATGCGACAAAGTCATCTTGCTTGTTTCTTGTTTTCTTCCTAATTACCTATATTCTAGCAATTTAGAAACATCACTTAATACTTATTATTTTTTTTTTTTATAGGATGACACTTATGTGGATTTATGAGACTGGTCAGGTCGAGTCAAATCAATATGAAAATGTAATATTAATATTAAAAAATAAAACTGTAGTACTAATTGAAAATAGAGTAAATACCTAAAATAGTCCTTCGACTATAGCTAAATTCACAAATTGGTCATTGACTTTCAATTTTAACCAATTAAGTCCTTAACTTTGCAATTTTGACACGATTTGATCCTCCATCTATTTGACCATTTGTTGACCGTGATCGACGATCTCCAGAAGAACCTTCAGCTCTCGTCGAAGCACATGAAGGCCTCCAGGATGACGTTGCACCAGTTCGAAAACACGTCGTCTTCTTTGCTCTGATACGAACTCAACTACATTGAATCCAAAGGGAGGATAAAGAAAGGCGACCGGATTTGGTAGATTGCTTTCGGCAGTGGATTAAAATGTAACAGTGCGGTCTGGAAATGCAACCGGAACCTTAAAAACCCGACGATGGACCATGAAATTACATATATATCCTCAAAAATCACAGTCAACAAACGATTAAATAGACAGATGATCAAATTGTGTTAAAATTGTAAAGTTAAGGACTTAATTGGTTAAAATTAAAAGTTGAGGACCAATTTGTGAATTTAACAATAGTCGAAGGACTATTTTGGGTATTTACTCTTGAAAATAAAATGTTTGTTACTCATAAGAAAAATGTAATACTTTTGATGATGAATATAATACTTTTACATTTTGATGTAAAAGTATTACATTTTTCATCAAAAAATATTATATTTTCCATTATAAGTAATGTTGGTAAGTGTTTGTTATTTTTTATAAGGGAAAATATAATATTTTTGAGGAAAATGTAATACTTTTAGGCTGTGTTTGGAAATCCAGAAAATGATTTCTGAAAATCATTTTTCAGATTTTTGGTGTTGGGCTACACTTGAAAAATTCAGTCAATGAAAAATATTTTCCGTTGACTGAGAAAAATGTGTGCTCAATTTGGGTTGGCGGAAGTCATTTTTCGTCACATTCAGCCCGTTTCTTTTAAGGTTTCTGGCAGAACTGATTTCCGCCGTTTTTTTTTTTTTTTTTTTTTTTTTTTTTTTTTTTTTTGTTTTGTTTAAAACATATAAAAATAGTTTTATATTCTAAATAAAATAATTAAAAGATTTAATTATACAATTCTACTCATTTTCCAGAAAATGAACCAAACACACCAAAACAGTTTTCCAGATGCAACCATACACTGTAAAAGGAAAATATTTTCCGAAAAATGACTCATTTTTCAAAAGTCATTTTTCTGCTTTCCAAACAGACCCTTAAATCAAAATGTAAAAGTGTTACATTTTTCCATATAAGTAATAAATATTTTATTCATTATTAGTTACTAATATTACATTTACCAGTATAAGTATTACATCTGATCTTGACTCGACCAGTCTCACGGATTCGTGAGACGGTCTCACACAAATTTTTGTCTTAAAAAAAAAATAGAATCATATATATATATAGCTCGATTATATTTCATTTTACATAGACACAAACAATTTAGTGTTGAGTTCCAAAATTAAATTGCTCGATATGCCTCATCATGAATTTGAAGGTAGTCCATTATTATGGTAAAATTAATTAAAATAATATTCAGTGTTGCTATAATAACCTTATTGTATGCATAAAATAAAACTCAATATCAGAGTTTATGGAGATACCCATATTGTCAAATGAACATGTAATATATATAATTAAATAATTTTTTTAAAAATCAATTAAAATGATACTTTGGTGTTGTTATAGTGAACCTATTGTAGGTATAAAATGAAATTGAATAACCGAGCTTATAAAAACATATACATATTATCAAATGAATTAGTTTTGAAATTAAAATGATAATTTAATGTTGTTATAATAAATCTATTGTGTGTATAAAATAAAACTGGATACCTAAGACACGCTGTATAATTAAAATTATACTTTAACATTACTATAATGAAACTAATGTATATAAAAAAAAATGAAATTCAAATAGAGTTCATATCATGTTTTATACTGCGCAAATTATATCGTGCACCGTACCAAGGTGCCCTGAACGGTTTTCCCGTTTATGCCGTTAACTTCTAAGAAAAAATAATAAAATTCTCTGTTTCGTATATGTACAAAATTATAGTAAAATACACCTAAACTCCTAATATAATACACATAATCTAAGATAATACATAATACACATAAAATCTTAACATAATACACATAAATACAAGTGTTAAAAAAACTGTAACTGAATTACATAGACGGAACGGTGTCGGTTGCGTCAACTCCCCACCAACTTATAAAAACATTATCATTTCGAGTCAGGACATACAATGCATTGTACGCCCTAATACACGATATAACGATTGCCTCATACCGAGATCATGGTCCAGAGTAAAATTTGCCGAATGATTATATGCCCGCGGAAGAAAGTGAAAATCCCACGGGAGAAGAAAATTTGGTTTTTGTATCTTTGAGATACAAAAAGCCAAAAAGGGCTAAAATTTCCAAAAAGTAAATATGAATGGAAGAAGCCAGATGGCGTTGACTAGAGTCAAGCTCTCAATCCATTCCCCTTGGCCGTCCAATGACTCAACGTCTCAACACACCTTTTGCTGTCACTTCTCTTGGTTGGCCCCTTGCATGTGTAATTATTCACATCAATTAGATTTTTAGTATAAGAATTTGGTAGGGAAAAAACAAAAACAAAAATATTAATTTAGTTTCTGAATTATTTAAGTTAATATTTAATTATGTATTATGATGATTATTTTAATATATTTTGTCATGATTAGAAGAGTTAAAATGATTTTGGTTTATCGTTCATCGTCCTATCCTATCATGTCATCTAAGGACATCCTCAATAATAAAAATTTTTTGTATGATTTTTGAGGTGTTTTTGTAAGTATGATTAAGAAAGAGAAAATGAGACAACACTGCACTGCGGCTATCTCTTTGCTCAGCTGGGCCCACAAGCTGATAAAATCTCCATATTAACAGACGAACCCTAAACATTCTCTCACTTCTCTTTCATTCATGTTGACAATTTTCTTTAAAAATCGTGAACAATTCTCCTAATGCAGATGCTCTAATGAAGTGGATCGCATGCTAGAGATTTTAAGTTGCAAAGGACGAAAATACTAAATATTTTGATATGTCTTAAATGAAAGGATGACTAACGAGATAATTTTTAACACTAAAATAATAGTCGTAGATAAAAATTGATAATAATTGAACATATAAACAAAACTATTTTTTTGCTAATACTATATTTGCTCAATTATTTAATGAAGTCTCCCAAGTCCCACATGAGATCTTTAAATCACACATTCATAATTAAGAACAACATTAATGCACACCTAATTCTCTATTTCTCTTCATATTTATGATTAATTTTACTTTTACCCCTATACTTTTTTTTTCTTTTTTACATAAAAGAATAGAATTTTGAACAAAAATATGAATCATCACATAAAAGAGATTAACTCATCAGCTCATATTATAATTTTATAAATTCTATAGAACTGGAATATTTTCCCTTTTCTTTAATATAACTTCAAGAATCCATCATGGGCGGATCCAAACACGAGTAATCTCAAGCAATCAAAAATACTTTTCAGTTTCGTCTAATTTTGTTGTTGAGCAGAGCCGCTCTCATCTCCGCCGCGTCCATCTCCTTCGCGATATTCTCCGGCCGGTAGTACCCGGTGACGGGGTCCGGCACCCACGAAGTTTCCTTTCTCGACGCTTCTCCAGCCTTCTTCATCACCCCGCCGCCGGACACTTTTCCCTGCGACGCCGCCGCCGCGGCGTACCCGCGCCTCACAGCGACGGAGACCCTGTCGGCGACGTAGGCGGAGACGAGCTTGGCGTTGGAGAAAGAGCGAGCCATTTCGTCGTCGATCGATGGAAGGCAACAATTCACAACACTTGCGTAATTGAGAAGAAAACAAAAGCTAATTATAGAAAGTATGTGAAGTGTTTGGGCTATGGAAAGATGAATTTGTTTGTGAAGATGAAGGTGTATTTATAGGCGATGAAACGCGTGAGGAGGAAAGGAATAAGAAAGAGAGATACCAGTTGGGAGAGGGGTGGGGCTAAGTCTAAGAGTGATTGTGGGGGTGACCTTGCGACAAAGTCATCTTGCTTGTTTCTTGTTTTCTTCCTAATTACCGACTTAACAACATACATAGTACTCTTTACGTCCCATTTTATGTGTCTAATTTAACCAGACATCACTTAATACTTCTAGTAGTAGGGTTGAGGTTCGATCCCGATCTGTCACGAAACTAAGTCATGAAACTACATATTACTCCGTATATTCGTATAGCGAGTATACTATATATACGTGATTATATTAATATATATTTACAATAGTTATCATTGAATCATGTATATTTACCGAATACTATATGTATCTTATATTAAGTATAATTTAAAAAGTTTATTTTGTCATTATACTACAACGTATCTATTGTATTCTGTGCAAATTCTAAAACTTTTTACATTTACTTTTGGTTATAGCTGGTATAAAAGATCATATTTTCCCAACTTAAAATTTTTCTATATATTATATTTGGTAAGATTACATTTTCTTTGAGTTATATTGCTAATGAAACATAAGCTATAATTTAACTATACATATAATATCCTCAAAGGATGCAATTTTAAGTATGCCTGCCAAACGCATGCATGATCAAGACTCTAGTTTTTTTTTTTTTTTTTTTTTTTTTTTTTTTTTTTTTTAAGGGAATCAACACTCTTTTAGTTATTTAACTTTTAAAGTTTTCTTTAAATATCGTATTAAACTCAAGTACCATATAATTAAAAAATGACAATGCTCAAGATATTTACACTTTTAATCATTTCTCAAACCCAAAACACTACCCATAAGTTACTTGAAACCCAAATCTATCTTATAGTCTTATTAAAGTTCAAAAGGGTTAGGTTTAATTTGTATTATTGGGTATTATCAACTTGTCATCATTCTTAATATAAAAGTCAAACTAATACCTTTTGATCAACATGAGGGGTTCTTACCATGCTTGCTAAGAGTTTGCTTAAAGAAACCAAGTTCTTTAAATGTGGTATTGCTTGTTAAATTAAACTAAATATTTATATTATGGCAAACACTTGTGTGAGACTGTCTCACGAATTCTTACCCATAAGATGGGTTGGGTCAAGATGAAATGTAATATTTATACTATCAAATGTAATAATAAATCAGGAATAAAATGTTTATTAATTATATGAAAAAAATTTATACTTTTTTAGAAAATTTTACATTTTGATGTGAAAGTATTACATTTTCCTTTATAAGTGTAACATTATTTATAAGAGAAAATATAATACTTTTTTATGAAAAAAGTAATGCTTTTACATTAAAATATAAAAGTATTGCATTTGTCCTCAGAAGTATTATGTTTTCCCTTATACGTAACAAATATTTTATTCATGATTTAGTATTACATTTGCTAGTATAAGTATTAAATTTGCATATTGACCTTACCCGTCTCACAGATAAGGATTCATGGAACAGTCCTACACAAGTGTGACTCTTATATTATAGAGATAGTTAATTATTGTAATTAATTCTTAGTTAAATTTAAATCAATACTATTGCTGTATTTGGACCACAATTTTATTATATTTAATTAAAATCTTAAATATTTCAATACTATTGCTATATTTGGACCACACTTTTATTATATTTAATTAAAATCTTAAATATTTAGGTAACAAGTAAATAAATAAATAATAAATTTAATTTCATGAAGCCAGATGTTAGGTAAGGAATTAATATATGCCCCGGAAGAAAATGAAAAGCCCACAGGAGAAGAAAATTGGCTTTTGAGATAGAAAAAGGGCTCAAAATTTCCAAAAAGTGAATATGAACGGAAGAAGCCAGATGGCATTGACTAGGCGTCAACCACCATTCACCACCGATACAAAGCATCTAATTTAAGTAATTTTTGATGACGAGGAATACAGAGTATATATTATGACAAAATAAAGATTAGTAGAACTAGTATTAAAAAAAAATGAGTTAATACCCAAAATCGTCCTCGACTATAATGATTTTTCTTAATTTTGTCCTAAACGATTTTGGTGACCTAATATCGTCCCAGACTTTTGTGTTTCGCTCAATTTAGTCCCAGACTTTTGTGTTTTTGCTCAATTTAGTCCCTCATTTGTTATTATGTCCATTTGGTGTTAAATAAATAGACAATTCAGTAATTTTAATATTGGTATCTCTTTACTCATAGACATGTGAACTGCGAAATCCATTTTTTTTTTTTACGAATTACTCCCAGAATTACTCCTAAAACTGCGAATATAAAATTTGATTTGCAGGTCCGGGAGTAATTCTGGGTGTAATTCGTACAAGAAAGAGGAATTTCGCACTTCACAAGTTGAAAGTAAAGAGGGATCAATATTGACATTACTTAATTGTCCCTTAATTTAACACCAATTTGACGGAATAACAAACGGAGGACTAAATTGAGCGAAACACAAAAGTCTGGGACGATATTAGGTCACCAAAGTCGTTTAGGACGAAATTGAGAAAAACCACTATAGTCGAGGACGATTTTGGGTATTAACTCAAAAAAATATTATAGAACCGAAAAATTTTAAAAAGTAACATTTTCGAAACACAAAAATATGTAGCTTAAAAAAAGTAATTAGTATGGCTTAACAAGTATCTATATTAACTCTCAATCGGAGTGATATAATCTTCTTGATTTGAGCCAGTAAGTTATGAGCTACCTAGAATGGTTCATATTATTGTGTTCCTTTATCGATTGAAGTCACAAGGCGGATTTATCCAATGCAACATCAGATAGTGGTTGCAGATATATATGACTGCGGTTCAGTTCCAATTCTGAATTGTCGGTTCACTGTTTCGGGAAATAATAAACCGGAACTAACAATCCGATTTTATTTTTTTAAAATAAGATAAATTCTATTTTCTATTTTTTAAATAGTCCAAAACCAAAAACGACGGATTTCGAACATGAACTAGCGATTCTAGTTATGAACTGTAACCGAAATCATCTCGAACCATGATCATTCCTAGTTGCAGATTTTCCCTAGTCACTCAAAAAAAAAAGGTAATAAAGATATTCAAGTATATATGCCTCAAAAGGAGTGACACTCTAAAAAGAGTAGTGAAGTAAGTGGAACATAATTTTTCATATTTGATTGTATATTCAACTCTTGATAACATTCTTTTGATCGAGCCAAGGTCTTCCTAGTCCCGAATAATAACAGTGCGTTGCTCACATGAGCAGCTCAGTTGGTCACATTGACGAAATTTGAGAATAATGATCCGTGATCAAGTCTCACCAACGACAATGTGAGAGCAACCTCTCAAAGTAAAGAGCTCCTTGTGCACAGTAAGCAAAGATATAGCCCCTGTGTTCAACTGAGTTACTATAATTTACACTCTTCAATATATTCTGTCAGGTTAAGTCGTGAGGAGCCTTGAAGTTGGAGATTTAGGCCCTGTTTGGTAAAAAATTGGCCTATAGGCCAATTTTAGCTTATTTGATCACTATTAATTGTTTGATTTAGTTAAAATATCAATATAAATGTTTGGTTAATTAGCTTTTTGCAACTCCAAAAGACTAAAATTAAAAAAGCTACTCCTAGCAACTTTTTCAATTAACTTTTTGAGAAAAGAAATTATACCAAACAGCTATCAGCAAACAGCTAATTTACCAAACACTTTTCTACAATCAGCTAATGTTATCAACTATTTATACTCTCTAATTAACACAATCAGCTAACAGCAAACCGCTGTCAGCTAACAACCATTTTACCAAAGAGGACCTTAATCTTTTGAAAACAATATCGGTGGGTGGGTTCCTCATAAAATATCTTATAGCAAATATTATTGCAACTGCACTATAATTATTACAAAAAAGTTAGGTTTCTGTCACGAGAATCCAGTTGAAAACGTATGACACTCAATTTGGTTGTCTGACTAAGCACATAAACAAATATAAAAATGGCGAATGATGCGGAGAATTGTAGAAGCAAGTGGGAGGAGGAGAAAGCATAGCCAATTTCCAGAAGTTTTTGACAAGTCGCCAAACGTCTCGAATCCCCACAAGATTCCAAACCTCTTTCCAGCTCTTTAAGAGCTCAAAACAGCTATTCTCGTTGACGACGTCTTTCTCAAATTTTTATTTTGTTTCCTAAAATATTCATTGCCGACCCTCTCGCCGTTCATTACAAGTAAACAACGTAAGACGTTTCGCTACGTAACACAATTGTGTCCTTCCAGAAGAAGGAAAGATGGTTTGGACAATCCAATCCAAGTTGTTATTCGTTACTTCACCTTCATTTTTCACGAGCTGATTTTAGTTAGTTCACGTGTTTTGGTTTCATTATAACGTGGTGTATCAGACACTCTTGCTCATTGTTCTCCACGTGTCTTAATCACATACAATGGAGCATCCCATCAATGGTGCATGCATGGGGAGGTTTTTGCATATTTCAAAGCTTAGGTGGATGAAAGAGAGAGATGAGAGAAAGTGTTCAAGGTGCTTCTGCAACTACCTTTATTTTTGCAGGCATAGTGGATCCCACCAAAAAACAAAGCATGTTCATGTGAGGCGAGAGAAAGTGTTCAAGGTGCTTATGCAACTACCTTGGTTTTTGCCGGCATAGTGGATCCCACCAGAAAACAAAGTATGTTCCCTGGTGCATGTGAGACGAGAGAAAGTGTTCAAGGTGCTTCTGCAAGTACCTTAATTTTTGCAAGCATAGTGGGCCCTACCAGAAAACAAAGCATGTTCCCTGGTGCGTGTGAGGTGCATTAAGAGCGCCGCGTTTTCTATGCTGTTGATTTTTATTTTTTTTTCTTTCCCTTCTCTCTCCATATTCTCTCTTAGTAGGCACCTAAAAATTTGTGTTAAAAGCTACACAATTGAGGATGTTGAAAGACCTTTCTATGCCCCTCAACAAAGTATTGCTTCATCTTCATATTG